ACGAAAATGTTTGGTTTCTGATGGTTGTTTTTTGTGACTGAGCTTTCATTTACTTTGTTCTCAATTTCCTATTAATCCTCTGTCCTTTGACTACTGGCTCTTGAGCACCCTCATATTCTTCTTGTCTTGTTGTCCTTCTTTTTTGTCTGGCACAACCTTCTTATTCTAGGCCATGCAACTTAAATGTCTGCCTGTACAGTGCTTTATCAGCCGTTGTACAAATTTGTTTTGAATATTATGCAAATAACATCTTCCACCTGAAAAGAAAATTGACACAATGTACTGTTACCGTACAGCAGCATTTTCTCAGTCTTTGAGCTGGCCATTCACTAGGTTTGGAAAATCTTGACTGCAGTATGATAGCTAGCACTTGTCATGTTACTGATGCAGTATGTGTAAAGTACCACTGAAAACTGCTTCTGACTTCAACCTTTCATGCGATGTTTTGCAGTCAACAAGCAAATCAATGACAAAGAGAGAGTAGCAGCTGCGATGGAGAATCCAAACTTGCGTGAAATTGTGGAGCAGTGTGTTACAGAGCCTGACTAGTAGCTATAATACCCATAGAGTTATCATTTTGATACATTTCTTAAAATATCTTTGTTTTAAAAAAAAAGAAAATAATAATAATCAAGGCCTTGAGCTTAGTACTTGAGTTCTTTTTATCTTCCACATGTTTTTTAAAAGAAATTGTTTATAAGATAGATTTAAATTATGATGAATTAGTCTCTAAAATAAAGTGAAGTGTATAGTGTTAAGAGTTTGTAATTTCTGGTGTCCAGAGAAATATTTTATGATTAAAAACAAAACACCACATATGTATTGCCTTCTGATAGACATTGTGATATAAATTCAGTTTTGCAAGTTAAATTTCTATATTGTTTCAATCACTGCACTGTAAAAATAAAACAGATTCTTGTACTGAAATGCTGCTTTCCGAGTTCAGAAATTTTCTTTTTTTTTTTTTTTTTCTTTAAGCTTAGGTTTAGATTTCTGTTAGAGGAGGAAACATTTCATTCAACTTCTTCGTTGTTGATAAACACATTAAAGCTGAAATGAATTCAGAAAAAGAATTCGGAACCAAGGGACTCTACTAGAACAAGGTAGATTTTTACTGGGAGACTATTCCTGTTAAATATTTGCTTTTTTTCTCTGTAAGTACGTGTTTCTGATTCTGCAGGCTTTGCTTTATAATTATCCTGGGGGTAAAGCTTTCCTATGGACAAGATCTTGCCAGTTTGATCCTGCTTTTTCTTATGACTTACCTGCAGCATGGAAGGTGAGAGGAATCCCACAGCCCTTCATCCCTGTGGTTCCCAATGTCGTTTCTTTTTGCTGCTCCCTCACTCATCTCATCTGGGGCGTCCGTAATGTTGCCAGCTGTCACATGTTTTCTCACTGGAGAAGTTCCCTAGCGTTAGTTTCCGTTGCAGCTGTGGCTTTGACCATGGATTTACCTTTCCCTGAAGAATTAGGCAGATATTTCTCGCTCAGCTGTCCTCCCAGTGGAAGTGATGTTCAGTATTTGCCATGCAGCCACAGGAGGGCCTCAGTGGCAAATGTATGTGGAGGGAGAAAGGCTGCTGCCACCCATCTCACGCCCCATGGCACCTGACAAACTATTCAGGTATCCCAGGGGTGTGTTATCTGGTCAATGCATAATAGTTATCCCCTGCAGTAGTTCATGAGAGATTTAGGGAGCCGTTCCTCCGTGAAACAGTGATTACTCTAGTGGGCTTGTATTTGGTTAAACGGTGAGAAATCCTTGGAGTTCAGTGCAAACATCTGTAGAGATTTCAGGGATTTGTAACCATTTTAATAATAAGCCACATAAAGCTCTCCTGAAGGCATGAAATGATTGAACGGGCTCCAGCTAGGCTATGCGTTATAAACAGTGGGGGAAATTTTTCCCTTTGTAAAACAGTATGCTGACAGATGTCACAGCTGTGCCAACAAGAGCTTGTAATCTCCCTACTTTCAGTGCCAAAGTTATCTAAAAAAAAAAAAGGGGGCGGAGGGGGGGAGAGAGAACAATCCCCTTTTTCCATAGGTTACTGCACGTCTGCAGAACTGTCAGTTCTAGCGTTTGTGTGGAAAAATCACTTTCTTAACTTCCGTTACTCAGCTTCAATTAAATTTTACTTAAATTTCAAAAGCCTTTGTGCCCTCATTGCTCACCCTGAATTTAGCTTGAGGGAAGTATGTATGTCCTTAAGCAGCACTTTCTACAGATGCTTCTGTAAAGTATAATTATATGTAAGCTTAAATGTGGGACACTGCTATGTCCCCTACCTCAGGTATTCAGCAGAATGTGAAGGGAATTAGCTACTTGATGTTTGCATGGGAAACTAAAAACTTGGTACTATTTCCAAAATAAATAAAGAACCCATGGACCAGTTTTTTTTTTAAATTCTACTTTGGGCAAAACCTAAAATTTGTGTATTTAGACTCCTGCTGGAATGGTCTACCATGAAGTATCCTAAAAGATGCATTTTGCAAGGTTTTCTGTTGGGATTTTTTTGTTTCTTTGGTGGTTCTTTTTTTTTTTTTTCTTTTTTCAGCTGGGAAGACTCATTTAATGGTAACTACTTCTGTAAAATAATTTCTTTTCTGTGAAAAGCAGGTGGAGATGTTTTCCTATGATAAGGTTCCCAGTATTTCTGTGCCATGCCATTAAAACAGAAGTATAGAACAAGAGCAATGTTTTTCTTCCCCACTGTTTACTCTTTAATAAACTAGTTAGATGGTAACTATTGCAAATTGTAGTTTCAGTAATGCAATTAGCAGTTCAGTTCAATATAAAGGATTTATTCTGTGCAGTTACTTGTCATCATCAGCCCAGCACTTCTAATACAACTATTCTTCCAAAAACTTTTGAATTGCTAAATCATGATGTACTGTGACGCTTGTACTGTTCCTTGCAACTTCTGTTTTTGTTTATTGCTCCGTAAGACTTGCTGTCATGCATCGTATCCAAAATGGATTCAAGGCAATGTCTGCAAGTCTGCACAAAATCAGTTTAAAAGAGAATAATACTTCATATTTGAGTCTTTATTTCCATTTTAAAATTAAAACTGAACTGACTTTGTTTCTATTAAGTAGAAGCAATCTGTCATTTTTTTAATTTCCTTTTCAAAAGGAGAAAAACAAAAGCAAAGGATTTTTTAACTATTAATGATTTCTGGAGAGAAGGAAATGAGCAGAGCTAGAAATGTTCTGGAGGTGTTCTCCCACGAGGGGGAGCGTTGAGAAAAGATCACAGAACGGTTTAGGTTGGAAGGGACCTTCAAAGATCCAACCCCCTGCCAGGGACAAATTCCACTGGATTAGGTTGCTTGAAGCCCCATCCAGCCTGACCTTGAACACTTCCAGGGATGGGGCATCCACAACTTCTCTGGCCAACCTCTTCCAGTGCCTCACCACCCTTGTAGTAAAGAATTTCTTCCTCATAGCTAATCTAAATCTACCCTCTTTTAGTTTAAAACTGTTACCCCTGGTCCTATCACTTCAGGCCCTGGTAAAAAAGTCTCTCTCCATCTTTCTTATAAGCCCCCTTTAAGTATTGAAAGGTCTCCCCAGAGCCTTCTCTTCTCCAGGCTGAACAACCCCAGCTCTCTCAGCCTCTCTCCACAGGAGAGGTGTTCCAGCCCTCAGATTGTTTTCATGGCTCTCCTCTGGAGCCGATCTCTGCGTTCAGGAGCTTTCAAAAAAACCTGCTCATGTTCCTTCTTTTAATTTTCCATTTTTCGTTCCTTAAAATCAATTCTTTTTGCCTCGAAGGGAAGCCTAGCACACCCACCAGCAGCCAAACCAGGGCTGTATCCCAGGTCCTGGCCCGGTGCCGGCACAGAGGATGACTGAGAGCACACGGGCTCCTGGCAAGGGTGAGGGTAACGACAGCTCAAAGGCTGTTATTATTTGCTGTTTGTCTTTGCTTTTTGTGGGCTGTTTAATAATGGTCCAAGATGTAAATATATGAGGGCAAAGATAATTTTCTTTATCAGAGTTCCAGGTTACACTGGTTTAAAGCTGCCATTAGATACTGGGGAGTTGTCCCTCAGAGCTGTCTCTTTATCTTCTAATTCCACATTTTACATTTTTTGCCTTTAAGCAGAAACTGTCTCAGAAAACTTTCATCCCTTGAGAAAACTTATTTGTTCCTGCCAGACATCCCAAAATAGCACTTAGATGCCTTTTTTCTCTTTGTCTCCTGCCATACCAAAACTCCTGAGTTTGATCTTTCATGCCGATACTCTGGGAACTAGATGGAAGAGGTCAGTTTTCAAGTGCGAGACTCAAGCAAAGAAGAAAAACCCTAAACCCTCTCACATGTTTGTAGTAAGAGATGTATTCAAGAATACTAAATTTGAAGACAGATCTGGATTTGTATCACCCAAATTTTAGAGTGGTTCTGTCTATGGTTCAGCATGCTGCAGGTGTAAATTGTACTCCAGAAGAACATTTTAAGTATAAAAGTGAAATGCCTCTGATGTTGGGAGTTGTTTGGATGTGAGGGTCTCCTTCTACCACTGCTTTTTGGGTGGGTTTGATGAAACCTCTTTGGCAAAGCTACTTGCATCAAAGTGCTGGTGATTGACAAGACAAATTTTGATTAGTTATTCTAACCAAGCCTTTTTTTACCTTTCTGATATTTTTTAAGCATTATTTTAAAATGTTATAAAGACAAGAAATGTAAACATAACTGTTTGCTTTGGTTGGTATTTATTAGATGAGAATATTTCTTGTCCTGGGTGGATTTTCATGAAAGTACTTCCTTAAGCATAGTATCAGGATACCATTTAAAATTGTCTGAATAATCAAATAATGTCCTGCTATATTAGGCCTATAAACTGAATGGATTTTCTTTTACACTTGATAACATTTTTTTTTTAAAGCAAGAAAGTTAATATTTTTGATTTACAATACAGCATTTTCATGACATTTCCATGAGCTGTTGAAGCTTCTTTCTGATCGATCTACTCCCGCACAGAAAGCATCAAGAGAAAAATAAGAGAATCTTGTTTTGATTGTATGTTCCTTATGTCAGGCAAATATGTCCTCATGCCGTTGCTGTGTAAGCAGAGATACTGCTTGTCAGGATTCATAAAGGGAAGGAAACAGGCAACAGTTTCAGCTGCTTTACACTGAAATGAACACAGAGCTTTAATCGCAATGCATCTGGGACTGTCCGCTTCCCCTACTGCCCCCAGAAAATAGTTACAGGAGGGAAATATCTCTAAAGTAATGGTTTTATACAGAGTGGGAGGATGAAGAGAGGTTTCGCACTTGCCCCCCAGTGCTGAATCCTGTGGCACCTGCTTCTGCATCACCCAGTGTGTCCATGTGGCTGGGCAGCGTCTGTCTGTTCCTCCCAGCTGGGGCTGTATGCTCCTCGAAACGCGCCATGTGAGATTATTCTCCGATTGGGAATGAGCCCTGACACCTCCTCGCAGGGAGCTTGCTGTGGTGCAGGAGAGCAGCGCTGCACACAGCTGTCCGCACATGCACAGGGCTTCAGCAGCGGTGGGCGTGGGGGCTGCATCCCATCCCAGTTTTGCACCAGGGTCATCGCACAATTCAATGACATAGTGGGATCGAGCGCACCCTCAGCAAGTTGGCAGATGACACCAAGCTGAGTGGTGCGGTCGACACGCCAGAGGGACGGGATGCCATCCAGAGGGACCTGGACAAGCTGGAGAAGTGGGCCTGTGTGAACCTCATGAGGTTCAACAAGGCCAAGTGCAAGGTCCTGCACCTGGGTCGGGGCAACCCCCAGTATCAATACAGGCTGGGGGATGAAGGATGGAGAGCAGTCCTGCCGAGAAGGACTTGGGGGTACTGGTGGACGAAAAGCTGGACATGAGCCGGCAATGTGCGCTCGCAGCCCAGAAGGCCAATCGTATCCTGGGCTGCATCAAAAGCAGCGTGGCCAGCAGGTCGAGGGAGGTGATTCTGCCCCTCTGCTCTGCTCTGGTGAGACTCCACCTGGAGTCCTGCGTCCAGCTCTGGAGCCCTCAGCATAAGAAGGACACGGACCTGTTGGAGCAGGT